AACATTTTTACATTAATTTATACATTTTTGTGATGAATATCCATTGATTTACCCCCCTGGTAACCTAAGCAATGCCTCACTATAATTTATAATTTGTTTTTGAGAACAGAAATCCTCTGGTTTTTGCACTTTTTAATATATTACATTATTACTAAATATAAATTTGTCACTTAAGCAATAATAGATATTAATTATGATGCTAGATTGGCACATCAGCCTGACATAATCACATTAACAAGTTAAAGCTGTCGAGTTTATTTCTTTGAACTTTTCTTAATAAACGCACCTCAATAATGTACCCTTTTTCTTGCAATATTGTTAAATTTAGAGAAATCTGATGAACTACGAGTGGAATTTGCTATTGCGCCAATAATAAGACAAGATACAATTAATATTTGCAAGCACTATGAGCTGGATAGGCTGGAGCAGGCTATCAGTCACAAAGGTGAATTTAATGAACAAACGAGTTATAGCCATCTTTCTGCCAATCGGCGCGGAATTTACCGCCAGATGACAAAAATTGAGACACCTTGGATGACACCATCATCATACTTTGCCGAGCGTTTTGCTCAACCCACACTTGGTCAATTGATTGCGGTTAAACTTATTCGACGTGGGTTCTGCGAGGAGGCTTTAAAAGAAGTCCAACTAGAGCCCGACTTTAATGAATCTGCAGATGTCTCCAAAAGTGGTTTATTTAAAAATATTGGAAATGATCCTTATTTACACCAATTTAAAGGAGATAATGACGTAAAAAAAGATTTTCCCAATTCACCAAGCGTCTCGACTAGCGAAACAATCACAGAAGAATCAAAGACAGTAACAAATAGAGCGCAGATCGAACTGGCAGCAGAAAATTTCACAGTATTTGTCGGTAAGAGTAAAGAGCATTTAAAGACGTATTTATTGCATATTTCGTAAGTGGTATATAGTTTTATTATTTATTAATATTGATGACACTATTTGATAATACGTGGAATTTTGTTTTTTGTACAAACCATTAATAGGTTAATGTTATTTCTTCAAAATCTGCTAACTAAAGATCTCATATTATTAATATATGCATTCGATCATAAATAAAGTTAGAAATGTATGCGAGTTTATTGCACCTATATGCATTCGTATATTTATATTTCTTATTATTCTAAATTCTATTTGATCTCATTGATTAAACTTCGCCGAATGTACTAGGATATTTTGTAAGAATTATCCATTACGGAAGTCTTTGTGACTGTATGCACACTTTATTTTCGTATCGGATGTTACTCCAACAAAAAACTTTGGATTCATCAAAAATAAGAGTTGCTTCCTTCTTTCTTTAGATTAAAGGCTATAAGCTATGCCTTCTTGTGGTAATCGTATTGTTGTCTATTCTTTTTCGTAAATCTGATGAAGGATTTTGAGTAGGATGTCTGAAGATATCATACCGAATCATTCAGTCGACACTTTGATTAGACAACGAAATATCAAAAAATAGTCCAAAAATTTAAATTTTGTGCAATTTGTAAACTGAGTTTTGATTGATCTTCTGAGATACTATCGTTGGGGAGACATTTATTTCGTATAAAAGTGTATGAAGAAGAGATTCTAAGGTCGATCTCACCAGAAGAGGATGGTTGATTCCCGTTATTGAGAACAGAAATCCTCTGCCTCTCGCTCTTCTCAATATATTATTAAATAATTAAATAAAAATGTGTCATTTTAGCAATAAAAGATATTAATTATCATGCTATAGAATCAGCCCTACAGAATCACCTTAACACGTTAATGGTACCCAGTGTCTTTCTTCCAAATTTTCTTAATTAACGCACCTCGATAATGTACCCTTCTTCTTACCATAATGCATTCCACGAGAACTCCTCTCTCGTTTTGTTTGACAATGGACTGAGCTCTCATCCATCATATGATAGACATTCTCAGAGCTGGGACACATTCTTGCAAAGTTCTCATGGTAACACTAGGTAAAGAAGCATATCCGGCCCTATCTTACCTCTTACTGGATAGTCTTCTTGCTTTAGCGTTAATATGGGACATTCACAAGAGTAAGTTTCAGCACAGATGATGTCCATCATATGAGGAAAGCTCAGTTCATTTTCACCCAAAACGAGGAAGGATGTCTGGTGGATTGCGTCAACCTGAACATTGTATTAAAGCCAAACGGCTACAGTACAATGAAAATTGACCGTTCTCTTCTGGTGAGATCGTCGTGCAAATTTTTTTCATGCACTTTCATACGAAATGAAATTCTCTTCAACAATATGATACTTCGCATTTTCTTTGGCAACTAATTCAGGTCCAAGCTGATGCTCCATTAATGCATATCTTAGCCAGTGAATTACTTTGCTTCCCCTCAAGCTTTCAATAAAAGTAATGTTTGATTTCGTAAAATTAATTGTCTCTTAGTTACACCAAATTTCCTATTTTCATTCATTTATGTGAAGTTCTTTGTATTTCTTATAACAGATTACTCTGTAACTTGGGAACGACATCCAATAGTAACAATAAACTACGAGGCTATGTGAAACATCATTTTTCTCCATACTTTACATGAGGTTTTGTTAAGCCTGTCTTATTTGAAAAAAATATGAGAAACTATTTCAATTGCAATATCAATTCCATGAAACTAAATAACAATTTTTAAAAATTCCTGTAACTTACGACTTTTCGACGCTTATTTATCAAGCCAGCATATGTTTTTTATTATTTATAATGAAAATGCAAAATAATGAAGGCCTTTTTTAGGGCTTTTGATACCCAAATTGTTATTTTGGTGAAGTTTGAAGCCCAAACAAAACGAATCTCTTAATATTTTGCAACCAAAGTCTATTGTAATTGATTCACGATTCTACTTAACTATGGATAAATAAAGCGTGCCTTCTAAAATGAAAATACCAATATATATTTCCTGGTAGCTAGAAAATAGAATCTGCTCTATCCTGAATATAAAAGCTAATCCAATATAAATTTATTTCCTCTGCAAATAGATCTTTGCTACGTTTCCTATTTCAATAGCAGGTTGTCTGCCTCCTTATTTAGCTCTGGAATTCTTGATGGACAGGCAAAGTTGCTGCTGAGTTTAATATTCTATAGTATTTGTATAATTAATGCAAAGATCTTATATTGCTTTAATTAGAATTTTGAATCTTGTATCAAATATGGTTGCTAATTTTGTTACAAAATGCCTTCTCACAGTTTAACAGTAGACTAGTGGGGTAGAGTTACAATGAAGTAGAGTATAGATAAATTGCTCCATAAAGTAAATCCTCACTATAGAAGCCTTGCTATCTATCATCAGGCTTAAAAATTCGGAAAGATAAGCTATATTTACTTTGATTATGACCTATTATTTTACATAGTTGATTTTTGCTGACAGGAAAGCGTCAAACAAAATGCCTGATGATAGGCATTTGTTCTTTTAGTACTTCTGAGCTCATAGAACATCAGGCGGAACACATTTTTTTATATTTCTTGCTAGCTATGCCCTATCATGAGTTTAAATGGCCATAATAAACGCTAAGTCACTAATATTTACATTTACATGTAGAATATATAATTTAATTCTATAGTTAAGTCTTACTCTCTTTTTAACTGTTCCATGTGCTGCCGTAAAGGGAAAATACTATGATAGACACATTTGTAAAAAACAAAGTATTGGTAGATAATAACGGAGGTTGAAACTAAAAATTCAAGCGAT